TTATGCTTTTCAAGAAATTCTTTACGGCGTTTACTTCCACCATGGGTATCTGCTTGATGAGGACCTTCACGACGACTTCTCTTGGTCCAGTGCAACATTGATGATAACGTTCTTCACATCTATCGCGTGAGTCGCATGCATTTATGTTCCTCCAGTCACTCAATCATGTCGTAGGATGAAAGGTCCAAATCGGCACGGGTGACTGGTTGTATACGTAGAATTTTTTACGAGCATAGTGACCATGGGTATTTTTTATACTCAATGCCCATGAGTAGTAACATTTTTTTCAGATTTTTTTATGTACTAGATCAGGACAGGGCTTTCTGCACATCGCGATTTTAATAATTAGTTTGAATATATACAATTTTAGTAATTACTTAGAAACATACTTAATACAAATGTTTACAAAAATTAAGTATGCATATGAATATCCATAGAATAGGTAAATTATAAATATTTATAAATAATTATTATTAAAACGATTTCGCTTGAGCATTTCCTGGTAAAGAAGGCGGATATCCTCCGACTTCGTTGCTATGGAAAATGCAGTTATTACTTATTGATATACTGGTAATATATTTTGTTATGATAGTTAATAATTAATAATTTTCATCTTCCCTTTTATGATAGTATCAAATGATGTAATTAATCGAATTTTATAATTATGAACTTTGGGACAATTTGAAGTATGTAATAGATTAGAATTCTTTTCGTGGAAAAATGTATGAAACTATATGTGCAGAAAGATACTTCGCGATAGGTAGATTTTTGAATCAAAGCAAGTTTGTATGCTTTCACATTTTCGAAAATATGCTTTGATGAAAAAATTGCTTGAGGTTATTTCTATTAATATGTAATTTAAAGCCAATTGTTTGATTGTTTGATTGTCTAGTCAATTATTATATTTCATAGTATTTACTTTTTTAATAAATTAAATATACTTTTTAATAGTATACTTTTAAATATACTTTTTATACTAATTTAATATACTTTTTTAATAAATTCAATTCTTGTTCATTATCTTGCAATTTTAATAATTTCTGAAATAAAATAATACAATAGCCCGTTAGATACAAATTACATAAACTAATCATTTTTTTAGTTTAGGATTTTCAGGTTTAACCTTTTCCGTGTTCATTGTCAAGATCTCACTCACGTGCCCAGGTGCTACTTGAGTGGGTGAAAGGTATTGAGCATGATGATTATAGTTTGTAGTTTTATAAAAAATTTCTCAGCGACTGACAGTGTGTTAGCGTATCGTGCACGACATATTTTCCACATGTGTGTGTGTGATTAGGATGTGGAATTGTGTCGTTTCTATTGTTTCATTATAAGTTGAAACATTCAAAATATTTATACAATTTGAAATATGAATTTATTATAGTAATATCTATATAAATATAAAATACTATAATTATATTATTAATTGTACAATCAATTATACAATCAATTATAATAATGATTCCAATTCAACTTGCATATTTCCATAGAAATTATATATATTTTCTCTCAGTTATTAATCTCACATAGATTTGTAAATATAAACGTGTTTTAATCACGTTTTACGCAATGTTCGCTAGCCATTGTCAGTTGATTTCAGGAAAATGGTACGTAAATTAGAGTGTGAAAGTTGTGTGTAAGCTCGGGGTGTCGGAGGCGTCCCGGGACGTCCTCTCTAGTTTAGGTTTCTGCGCCCGAGTGGTATGTATGAGAACCGTGGAGTAAGTGTGTTGGTATGTCTGTTTTGCCATTTTTTAAATATAGGACGATTGATTAGGATAGGTAGCTTATTTTCTGGTATGACTGTCTTTAATTTTAAGTAAGTAGGGCCGGGCAGGTTGGCACAGTCTCTGATCGCGTGTTTCCTTTCCGCGTGTCCAACCTGTTTCTGGAAATCTAATTTGAAA